TGCTAAAGACGGAGAGAGAAGGAACAACATTTTGTTAACCGGTTTGAAATTAATTTGATTTTTATATGCAATACATACATACATAGCCACACTACACTATATACACACATTTTCAAGGTTGATTTCGTATGCACAAAAGCCAAACAACAAATGCTGTCAGCAGAATTATAAATAGGGACGGAGCCGTCTGTCTGTCTGTCTCTCTGTCTGTTATTCGGTCTACGCCCCGACTTTGGCTTTAAGATGCGCATTAGGAAGCGCTCTGTTAATTAATTCCAGCTGCCGATTGACTTTGGCACAGCCGGCATACATTTATTATCAGCGCTGAAGATCGTTTAGCAGCTCCGCAACATTTGACACAATTTGTAGGCGTGTGCCTCAGCACTGGGTTACGCCTACCTGTGACTGCCTCCCCGCTCTTTGCAACTGCAGCACGCAAGCGGAGAAACTTTAAAGTCACAAGTGCAACAGCAGAAAATTGTGAATTTATGCCTAAGGCAAAAGCTGAATACCCTAATGGATGCAATTGGTTTGCTCTCTTGGTAATGAATCTTTGCTGAATCTATATAATATATAACTTTTTGTTTGAGTATTCCATTTCATAGGCGTATATCTCATACCTTATCTTATTTATATTTTCCCCACTCTGGCATCCCTTCATTTATTCATCGAAACCTTTCAAAATAATTATGATTTTACAATGCAAATTGCAGTGTAATCTCAGAAAAGTGTTTGAAGATCATTAACCATAAAAATTAAAATCTATTTCAGATAGCTTTCAGATAAAAGTGCCCAAACCCCATCTCTTCTCTTCGTTAATAAAGGCAACTAACTGTCTGACATCTGCAACACAACTCATTCACAAGTGTATTACAACAACAGCAACAACAACAACATGCAGCGGCTGCTATGCGTGCATACAAAGTTAGGAAAATAAGAAGAAGAAAAACTTAAAAAAGCGATACGGAAATGCAGATAAAACCTTTGGAAAATTAATGAGCTGAAAACAATGCGGACATTGTTAAGAAACACAGACAGACGGAGGATGATGATGAGGATGGGAGGATGGGGGTGAGGGTGAGACGCGCCGAGTTCAATATTTTGACACAAAATGCCAAGGAGCAGCAACAACTACAACAATTACAACAACAACAAAAACAATGCAGAAAAAGTCCCTCAACTCAAATACGACAAACTATGTTCGAAATTATCGGAAAAAAGTAAAAGTTTTCGTTAAATGAAGTTAATAATAATAATAATGACTATTAATGATGTCGATGATGATGATTTACTATAATAATAATATCGCAGACATCAATCAAATGGCAAAAACAAAACGAAACGCACATTAAAAGCAATCAAAACAAAATGGAAAATATGTGAAAAATTCGAGAGAGAAAGAGAGAGAGAAAGAGAGATAGAGTGAGAGCGGCAGAGCAAGAGCTGTAAACTAGGTAACAAAGGTGGGTCAAATATTGCGCCATAAAAAAAGTACAACAACTACAACAATGGCTGCCAATACAGCCGCTAAACGGTTCGCTTTTCATTTTACACCTTCGACGAAAAACAATTTCCCTCCTTACCCCACCACAGCCTCCCAACAGGTAGTAAACAAATCAAAAAGGAGGTCAACTATATATTGGCACACAGATTTGGGGAGCACAGTTTATAGATGTTAGTTGTAGTTGTAGGTATTGTTGTTGCTTTTGTTGCAGCTGTCGACGAGTGCTGCCAACTTGTCGATAATTGCAAAATTCTTAAGTGCTTCTCATTTGGCAAACGAGCTGCTGCCAGACAGCTCCAAATACCCTGGAATTTCGTTTGAAGTCGCTCAATTTGAAGTGTAAACAAAAAGTGCTTCCAATTCACAGTGCAAACAGATGGAAGGGAGAGAGCGAAAGATATGTAAATAGAATTGAAGATTTGGGGTGGAGCCCGATTGCACACAGTGTTTAAACGAGGGAATGGCTTGTATATATTTGCCATGTGTATATTTAGAGGAGTAAATGTTGCGGAATTGATTACTGGATTTATACAGATAATGGAACGAATGGATCATAAGAATTTCTGAAGAAGAAGAAACATTCTTGAAGCTGAGTCATGCATCGCTGGCAAGCGGCAACCATGCAAATATGCGAAAGGAATAATACGAATCCAGCAAATATATATACATAAAACGGAGTGGAAGAAAGATAAGGAATAAAGAAAACGAATGAATCAGACTTTTATATAGCAATGAAGATTGATGAGGGCTTTAAAGGGAGGAGGAAGAGAGGAGAAGACATACAGATTAGATATATGATAGAGATATCAGCACATTCTCTGACCCTCTCCTATATCATTCCCTCTTTGATTCGTATTTTTATGCTTCTCTTAGTCCTCTTTTCATTCGCACTCTCTCACATCCCACATTTGATATGCTTTCGTATCAAATCAAGAATCCCAAAGATCATCTATATTCTTAAGGCCCTACCGTCTAGCCTACTTTTCCAGTGTTTTCCAATATCAATCAAGTATTCAACTCTTTTTAAAAAAATTCTCTCTCGTCATCTTTCCGCTTTGAAAGCAGATCAAACAACTTGCTCATTGCGTTCATTCACAAAGTTTTCTCAGGCCATTTCACTTGCAATTAGCAGTTGGCCCAAAACATCGCCACTTCCTGTTTAGGCCCCATACGGGAATACACGTTCAAAAAACATTTCAATTGATGTTCGGCGCCTCAGTTATGAATCTTTGAATGAGCTTCGAGTGCGATTGGCTTTCACAGGTGTCTCCCACGCCCGAAACGAAAACGAAAGAAAACAATGGCGATTAAGGCTCGTTAATTTCTTGACTACTTTGTGTAATAGCTTTTGGCCTAAGGCCCGTAACGGCTAATGAGCCATTAACACGCTTATCGGTCCTAGCCAAGATGAAGGCGGAGGCAACTGAAAATTTCGGCCCGTAAAGGCGTCGCACGTGAGCGGGAATTTGTTGGCTTTTTTCTGGGTTTGGGGTCAGGCGCGAAAAATAACTAAATATGAGTTTCCTCAATTAGATTTTCCAGACACGATCCAAACGTATAGGCCATGCCATATAACGAAATGCAAATCGCATTAAGACGCGCTTTTAATCTGCGCTGAAAGGCATCGTCTATAGCTCCATCTCAGCCTCTCTCACTCTCTTTGTCGCTCTGCCGCTCACACTCAGCTCAGTTTTTGCAGAGTTGAAATCGCCTTAAACGCTAAACGAATCTCTTGTCTGTTGGGTCACCAGGTCAAAAGCGAGTCACAAAGCCAGAAAACAGCTCCAACAACAAAAGCAATAAAAAAGCTGTTGCAACTTGTGTGTGGAGATCAATGGTAATCCATAGGTAACAAAAGGGCATTCTTTTGGAAAGTGACTATACTGGAACTGGCACTGGAACTGGAACTGGATTGGCTTCTGCCCGTACTCATGCTGCCCCAGGCAAGTAGAAGTGCGCAACACTTATGCTCAAGTGCCGCCCTCTAGCGGCCATCTCTGTATATAATATGCGAAAAAGAACATAAATAAACAAACGCAGCTGGAAGAGTAAACACTTATAGTAGCATTATTATTTTCTGTTTTTGTTTATTGTGAAACTCAGCAGGATCATTTCGTAAAGTGAAGTGTTTGTGTTTCTATCTCGCTCTATTCTGCTGTATGTGTGAACTGATGTAGGTGAAAGCAGAGTAAGTGAAGAAATATGCACGAGAGGATTAAAGATAACAGCCAAATTTCAACAGATGCATAGACCAGCTGTCAAAACAGCCGATTAGAATATAGCAACTACTTTAAAATATAAATCCAATTGGAATATGTCATGTGAACTTTACAATTCGCCGCATTCGTATTACTCAATTTCAACTCTTACCAGTTCAGCTGTCGACCCCGTCCATTAAAAAGAAACTTCCAACAAATCAGAAAGTCCAATCGGAATCAAATGCCCTTGACAATTCGCCGCATTCACATCCAATGACAAGCTTCAACTATTAACCATCACTACTTCTACTTTCTATTGCATTTAAAGTATTTGTTGCGCATTTTCATGAATATTTTATTACATCAACTTGAACATCAATCGCTGCAGCAATTGGTTTTGCAGCCCCCGCACAGTGCTTGCTATCAGTCGATAGACAGAAACGGCAGATAAATAAGGCAGCCCACGCACAACAAATGCAACAAAAACAACGACAGCAAATATGCCGCCTGCTGTCATTGCACAGTTATGCACAAATACACTCTCACTCACACACTCACATATAGAAGCAGCCGCACTTTAAAATGCAAGTGTGTGTGTGAGTGAGAGAGAGCAAGCAAATAAATATTATCGCAGTCGGCGGTCGGTCGGGCGAATTCAAAGTTATTACGAAATCGCAATCGAACATAACGGTAGATAGCAAAAGCAGCAATAAAGCACACAAATGCATACATACATAGATTCACAATTGAAGAGAGGCAAAGCGAAATAAAATTGAAACATAAATGGAGCAAAAAAGCAGACGAGCCAACACAAAAAAGAAAAAACTTCTAATTGATAAAGTAGCTAAAACTATTTATTTATAGAATTCAATAAAAATAAAAATTTCATTTAGTTTATTTTTACATTGTTTGCATTATAATCCACAAATTGAACGAAGTTTTGCCTCCATTTACGATTACGATTCACTGCAAGCGCAGCAGCGACGGCAGCGAATGGGAAGACAATGGCGTAAAGCACATAACAAGCGAATAAGCGTAGCTGGCAAAGCAGCCAGAACAAAAGCTGACTGCAGCAGCAGCAAAATAGAAAAGAAAAGCCAAAGAACCAAATGCCAGAGAAAAAGAGTAGCAAGCTAAACTCACTCACACACACATACACGTAAGCACAAGTAAAGTTTTTTTTTTCTGCTGCACTTAAATCGACTTCTCGCTCTCTTCCAGTGAGCGCATGGAACGTAAATTAATTTAATGTGCTCTCGTAAAATTCTTCATTCTTTTTTTGTTAACAACTGACTTACCTGCTTTGTTGCTGTTCTTGTTGATGTTAAGCCAGCTGCTTCGTTGAGTTTGCTGAATGATTTAGTTTACAAACACATACATTCACAATAAATACACAATACGAGATTTTTTTCAATGCGGCAACGCATGCGCAACTTGCAAATTCCAATTGGAATTTGAACCCCACAGCACTCAGCACATGTAAAGCGCAAAATCAAATGCAAAAGCAAACACAAAACGCAGAAGTGCTTCTTCTTTTCTTTTACTCTCTCATACACAGGGCGAATTTGTCGCCCTCACACACACACAATTGCACGCACTGCATTCGCCGTCGGGTTTTTTCTTCTCTCACCATATAAATGTGTGCATGAGTGTGTTTCTACGGAGGTGTGTGTGTGTGTGTCGATACCTGCTAGTTGCTTGTTTTAAACTTTAATTTTAGCACATTTAGCTGCTCTTTGTGCTCGCAATTTACACGCAGATATTCAGAAATATTATTTCATCTGTTTTACTTGTTTGGTGTTTGCGGCACTTTGATTTCCGTGCACATGCACTTTGTCGGACACTAATACAAACACTATAACCATGCACATGTATGCAAACGGCTTTGTATTTACCGCTGTTTCATGGCAAAACTATTTCAAGTAATAAAAACTAAACGCAACTAGTGGTTTGCACAATTCGATCAATGAGCGACGCAAAATTATACTTATAACACGACATTTAACATTTTTTCTTTAACTGTGCACACGCGTCGGCGGCCATTTGTTTGAAATGAAACAACACAGCGACGCGAATAACGTCCGCTACGCGTCCAAACCGCTCGAAGTTGTTTTTGTTTATGGTCAAAATTAGGGATGTTAATATCGCATACATATCTAATGTGCGTCAACGAGCGATAGTATCGATATACAAGAGATGAGGAACTATGAAAATGGCAATGTTTTTAAAATAACTAAATAATGCAAATGTACTTTTAAAACTGAAATTCATAAATATAATTATTGTGGTATCAATTGCTATGAAAATGTAGTAATTTATTATATGTTCAACAACTAAATTTAAATTTTACTGACTTTTTGCACTACGATACTCTCAGTGAGCTGAAATCGTGTGTTGTGATTAACGATAGTCGATTGCTTGTGCAGTCGTTACACTGAACTGTAACAAACAGAATAAAAACAAAGAATTAGCTCTGTGAATTTTTGTTAATTGTTTATATTGAAATTTAAACTAATTGTTGTGATGTCACGTCGCAGCCAAGACATACCTATACGCCCACGTTACGGCTACAGCGAAGAGGCAGACGGCGAAGACGCCAGCACCAGCCACAACAAGCAGCGCAGCAATGCCTGCACTCCTGCTTCCTACTCAGAGATTCCCTTCCTGGCCCAATACGCAGGAGCTGTGCCCGAGCATGTGCTGCAGGACCTCACGCCCACAGCTGGCAAGGTGCCCCCAGCAGGCAGCGATAGCTACGTGAATTTGGACTCGGGCGAGGACGAGAACGAGGAGGAGGAAGAGGACGAGGACGAGGATCCGAGCAACAGCAACTCGAAGGACTCGAAAGATAGCTCCAATGAACTGAGCAAGCACAGTAGTCAACCACAGACGACGCAGTCCAGTAAGTGGTTACCTCCAGCGAATTTTGCAACCCTCAAATCTCTTAATTTAACTCTTGCAGGCTTCCCCTATGAGCTGGAAGGAGCAGTTGCCGCCAGCGCGGGCGCCATGCATCATTTTGTTGCCCACAACCTGGAGTCGAAGCTGCGCGCTGCCTCAGAGCAGAGCAACAACTCCGACTCGGCGCCCATCTCCAGATTTCTGCAGTCGCGCAATGTGCCCGAGGTCGATGGGAACGTCCTCAGCGACATTGAGCTGGAGGCGCAATATCTGGCCTCATCTGTGGACAATTTAATTGAGAACTTGGGCAATCTACTGCACTCCATCAGCAGCATCACTGCCGACAATGTGGAGGTACACAAGAACGCCGTAAAGAAGCTAACGGATGCCCTGGATGCGAATATCAAATGCCAGTATCAGCTTCTGGCCAAGACGGAGGAAATCACCAAGTCGATGCGACCCACCGAGCAGCTCAGTGTGCGCATGTGAGTGTTCCCTGATTACCCACCATATAGTATATGTCTACCATAATAGTATATTCTTATTCACAGTCGGGAGATCAAGCGCCTTGTGGATATGCTGGATAGCTCGATGTAGGAGGAAATCAGCGGCGGGATTGGAGGCGTGGAACTCGCTGCTGCATTTGAGCAGGAATTGAATACGCCCTGTGCTTTTCTTTAAGCCTTAACATTCCAATTTGTTACTATACTAGTCATTTTACTATAATCAATTAGTTTAAATCGTTGAAATCATAAAATTAGTATTAAACGCTATCAAATTTTAAAACGAGCCGCAATTGACTAATATCGATAATAAATCGATAGGCGTGGTAGCACGCATATATATGAAACGATTAAACATTACGATGTGACCAGCAGACTATATATGTAGTTCATTTAGTATTTAGCTTGAGTTGGTATTTTGCTGATTCATTTTTTGGTACATTTTCTTTTTTGTATTTTTCAAATACTATTTGACAGTCACTCTGGCCCACCCAGTCTACTAAAACTCTCTGAGCAACGCGTACATCAAGTCGCTCGGTCTGCGGGCTCTCGTGTAGAAGTGTGGAATAAAAAAGAAATAATTTAGAAATAAAGTTTTCATTGTGTTTCTCATGCGTGCGTGTGTGTAAAAAAGAGCGAGCGAGCGAGAGAAAACATGGCGAGTGTTTTAATAACGCAAATTCGATTGCACTTTCTATAATTCCCAACAAATTATATTTCTGTTCGTAATGCGGTCCAAGTGTTTGCGCTCAATGTGAATGCTTGTTTTTTCTCACAATATTTCCTTCCTTTTCTTCGCGCCAGTCAACAAAAAAATTAATGAAAAGTAAGCACAAATACATATGTATATTAAATGAGTGTGCGTGTGTGTGTATTTGAGTGACTTTTTGCTGTAGCAGAGAGAAACTCAAAATGAATTGAAAACGATGAACTCAAAGTAGCGCACGTAGCATATGTGTGCATATGTATCTATGTTTGTATGTATATGCATGTATGCATATGAGTGAGTGAGTGAGCGAGAGAGCGTGTTTTATACACGTTTTCAATTGCACTTTAAATTTTTTTTCTGCTACAAACTTTTGATTATATGAAGACAGACATGTTTTTTCGCCATTTTAATAACAATTTGAATACAGGGTGGCGTCTATTGTGTATACCCCTAGCAAAGTTTAATTAATTTCCATTTTCCATTTATTTCTGCTTTTGTATACTTTGCCATATTGCGCGTCAGGGAAACAACTGTTAACTATCCATATGCTGGCGAATGCGGGCGCTCTTTTCCCTTCCTTTTCGAAACGCACCCTGTACTGTTTGTTGTTCTTAACTGTAGACAAAAGTTCGCCGCAATATTCATTCACATTTATAACGACTCAATTTGTTGTTGCACAGATAGTGTAAGCTATTATGTGACTGTATGTGTGTGTATGTATGTGCGTCTTCCTTTCTGCCTAGCGCTGCGTCATCACAAACAACATGAAAGAAATGCCGCCAGCGTCGCCGGTGCGCGTGAGAGCAGAGAGAGAGCGAGAATGAGCGTGTGTGTGTGAGAGAGCGGCACCAGAGAGCGCGTGTGTTAGCTGTGTGTCATTCATGTGAAGGATACTGAAAAGCATTTGACGTCGGCAGCGCTGCCTGCGTTCGCTGCTGCTGCCGCTGGCAATGTTGACTGAGCACAATTAGCTGTAAAATATTTAAAGACAAATGAAAATAAATTGTTGCACAACTTAAGTTCAGCTAAGAGAACTTCTATGCTCTCTATCTCTCCTCTCCCTGGCACTTTACGCTCCACACTTGACAATTAGTCGTCAAAGCGAAATTCAAGGAATCACAGGCAGCTTCGACAGCTGTTCGAAAGTTGCCCAAGTGGATTTGCAGTTGTGGATGAAGAGGGGAAGATCTCCAATTGGAGCTCAAGCTGCAGTCTTGATTAGTTTCAACTGCATTTAAATGTGGAAAAGTCTGTGTCTGGAAATGTGTAGCTATAAAATAAATCGCATTAATAATACGGTACAGTGGTACCTGGCAGAAGCGATCGACATCTAATGACAAAGTCTAAAGACAAAGTGGCTATAAAGAGATTTTAGAAATATACTTTATATTTATTTATTTTTATAATTTATTATGCCTAAAGAAAACTTTTGAAATATTTCAACTTATTTGTTGTAGTTTAATCATTAAAAACTTACTTCAAGTCATAGAAAAGGGCTGAAAATAAAACTCATTTAAATTGAAGAAGAAATTTAATTACTTCGGCCGCGCATAGCCGGGTAACAGCAGCCTAGCTAGCAGCATAAAATCTAATTTGCCTACTCTGCTTCCTCTTCCCTCCCACTCAAAGAACTTTTCCATATGCTTACAGACATGTAAGTATGTGTGCATGCGTGCGTGTGTGTGTTCTGTGACCGTATGCTCACCTGGGAGATGCTCCTTGCCTTTGCCCTGCCTCAATTTCTCATGCCTTCGTCTTTTAAAAATGTAACTGTGCCATTTTCTGAGCTAAAAATATGTTATAAAAGCACACATACACATACAGTTAGACACCCGCACAAGCACACACTCACACATGAGCGTATTAGTTTCTGTGTGGAATTAAGTCTGCCCACGACGCAAGTTTCGCGTTTGCCGCCGGCCATCCGACCCTCGACCTAAGCCTCTTCACTCTCTCCCTCTCTCTTTTACTGTCGAGCCTTCTTGCTGATTGTGCAAAAGAAACTATTTCTGACGCGCTCGTAATCCACTCCGCGCCTTTTGCCAACTACGTAAATCCTTACGTGTCTGCTGAAATAAGCAAAAGCAAAGCAAAGCAGAGCCACCCACCCGCCGACGCTAGGTGGCGCGCCCACGTCAGCAAAGCGACAATTTCGCGAGTCCCCCGGGCAGAGCCTCTCAACACACTGCGTCCGAAGAGAGTGGGAAGAAGAGAGTGAAGCTCTGCCGCAGCTGGCGCTTGCGCAGGCGCCCGAGCACGCAGCGAAAGGCAGCGACGCCTTTGGCAGCCTTCGGTCGCAGCTGCAGCACTGGCAGCGTGGCAGAGTCTCAGCAAACGGCGGCCGAACCAGACGTACAAAGCGGGCAGCCCAGCAAATAAAAACATATACTTAAAATAAAAATGAAAATAAATTAAATACATTTGAAAAGAAAAAACAAGGCTCGTCCTCGCACAAGGTGCTCGCTCGCAGCAAGTTAAGCTAATAATAAACTGGAAAACGTTTGGCTGATCTCAATTCGCTCTGAAAGTGCTGTCTGCCTGCCTGCATGTGTATAAGAGTATGTGCATATATGTATAAGTGTGCGTGCGTGTATGTGTGAGCAAAAACTTCAATAAATAAGTGTCGCAATTTGCAAACAAATTCAATTTTATAAATAAATACGTATAACGTGTGTTGTTGTTGCTGTTTAGCGACTCGCCCAAACCGCAAGTAACAAAAACAAAAAAAACTCGTTTTGCCGTTTTGTGTGCTGGGCTGCTAACTGCGCTGTTTGTGCGCTGCTCGTGGCTCAGCTTGAGATTCGTTGCTCTGCTGCTGCTTCCATTTTGTTGTTGACGTCTGCGCCGGTCGATGTGGCGCTGACGTCGACGCTGCTTTTCCATATATATGTGTGTGTGTATATATGTGTTTATGTTTGTTTGTTATGTTTGTTCGTCTCGGCTGTAGCAACTCCTTGCGCTCTCTCTCTCGCGAGCAGCGACAGCGACGTCAACGCCAACGTCGGCAGCATCTTTGCAACTTTTTCTTGCCTTTATTACTGTATGTTTATGCATATGTATGGATATGCGTTTGAGTGTGTGTTTGTATGAGAACCGGCTTTTTGTTTGCATTAATTTTTGTTTTCTCGTCGCACATATTCAGTTTTTTATTTTTATTTGTTGTGCTTCCCCCTGCCAATTGCCGATCTGTCCAGCCCAACAAGTTGTTAATTTTGTTTTTAACACACACACATACACAAAGTCCGACACGCACAACTTCAAACGAAAGTCGCCAATTGGACACAATTTGAAAGCCAAGAACTTTTTTGCGTTGCCTTCCAATACAAAGTGCGTAGCTGAAGAAAAAACAGTTCAATTGGCTTATGTGCGTGCATGTGTGTGTATTTCTATCTCTGTCTAGCCCTTGTTCCCTAGTGCCTAATCTACGAATTTGTTGCTGTTGCTATTGTCTGCTGTGTTGTTGCTGCCGCATGTTTTTATAGTTTTTGCGTAGTTTTATATTTCGGCTCGACGCAGACACATACACACTCATACACACATAGACGAATACGCAGTCACCCAAAACGTTTCTCGCACAGTGGTTGACACAATGTGAAAGTAAATACAAAATTGCTACAAAATTCATAAAAATAATTAAAATTGATTATTATTATCAATCGTAATTCTATTTGTATTGTTAAATGAAAATTTTGTACAAAGCTTTTATAAATATTCTTTTAAAAATGTACAATTTTGAAAGCTTGCATCTAACCCTCATACCACTGTGCAAGGGCCCGACAAAAATACATACAAACACAAACCTCAAATTGGCAGCGTCTGGCAACGTTTATTTGATTGTTGTTGTCGTTGTTGCTTTTGTTGTTTTGCACCAAAGACGCCAATGGAAATTTTCGAAAATATAACAAAAATTGTTGTTTTCCATGTTTCCAGCGTGGGAAAGATACACCAAATTGCGCTGCAGCTTTATTTCCAATTATAATTTCCATTACTAGAGTGTAATGTCTATTAATATCAATCTATATAAAACTTGACTAATTAAATGGATTTCTTTCTACTTGCAGATTCTCTTCTTATTCAACACAAATTGTCCACACAAATAAAACAAAAAATTTCATTTGTATATACTAAAGTCTACAATCCCGATGTTACACAAGGCCCGGACCAATCAGAAATTTGGTCAAGCAAAACGTAATATTTTTGTACAGCAAATAAAATCGGGAGAAGGCGAATTGGAAAAGTCAACAAATGCAAGAGAAATAAGATAAAGAGCTTGCAAACGAGCCGAGAGCTTAACAGAGAGAGAGTTAGAGTGTAAAATATATAGAGGTAGACCGAGAGAGAGAGAGAGAGAGAGAGCAGAATAGAGAGAGTAGTAGAGAGAGAGATAGAGAGCACCAGAGGATCGTTTTATCAATTCGCATGCGCCAATGAAAACGTCGCATCCTTCACACGCGTCCGATTTCGTCATCGACTACGCCGTCGTTGCCGGTTCCGGTTCCGGTTCAGCTGCAACAGAACAAGAGCACATTTACAGGCCACGTCTCAGCACCTATGCAGCATCAGCAGCATCTGCAGCAGCGCCACCAGCACCAGTAGCCCCTGCGCATGGGCTGGACGTAAAGCCAACCGTCGAACAGATCAGCATCGGCATCAGCTGCGATCTGAAGCCCATTGTCTATCTCGACGCGGAGACACGGCAGCCGCGACAGCGCAGCGTCATCATCAAGCAGCACTCACAGCATAATCAACACCAGCAACAAGCTCATCATCATCAGCAGCAGCAGCAACATCATTATCAACAGCAGCAGCAGCAGCAGCAGAAAACGTTGTCCAAGTCAACAGCAGCGGTCAACAGCAAGCGAAAGCGCGAAACAGGTGAGTTCTATATATATCTGAGATGAGTTGGAATAGATCCCATAAGGGAACTGGGACTGGAACTGGATGTACATAAAGATTTGACTCAGTGGAACTACTGAACTAAGTGAACTAGGGAACTAAGAACTTTATGAACTATAAGAAACTTTTGAACTTTGATTAACTGATATATAACTTCTCTCAGTAATAAATACGCTAATCGTTGATTTTTTATAAATTCAATTTGAAACTCTTCGAAATGAACAAGTTTCCTTCCCAGCGGACACGTGGAATAATGAATATTTCAAGTGATTTTCTGATGCATTTCTTATAAAATATTTCGTCATCTAATGCCGAGAGAAGTACATGAAATTATCTATGGCAAAAAGTCAAGGTACACCTTGCCCCGCATGTTAATGAAAAAGGCTGTTATCGATAAATTATATAAATATACATATGTATGTGTAATATAATATCATTTTATACAAATGTCAGCCAAAAGATATAGCCAAACACAATTTTCCCTCTTTCACTTCTGATTCATTGAAATACCAACATTAGGGGCACTCCACTCTGTTTATTTATGGCTTGGCGTAAAACAAATAATGCTTAAATATATGTATCGGAAGTTTTTTCGTCTGCTGCCGACTTGAATTGCCATAGCTTAAATCATCCACTGTTATCGTTATCGTTATCGTTCATTTTTATATCGAACTGCAGACAACAATTTATGATGATTATATTAATATATGTATGTATCTAACATACACTCCATATAAACAGTTACGCTGCCTCTTCTGCTTTTTGCCATTTGTCGCTTATCAAGGGTAGCCTCGCTTTATATATGTACGCCTATCTCCCTCTTTCTCTGTCTCTATCGATAATCAAACAATAAACGTGAAACCATGCGAAATTGTGTTCATGTTTTATTGTTGTTGTTGTTGTTGTCACTTGGCTTCAATTGGAATTTGTTGTTGTTGCTTTCCCCCCTTGGGTTTGTGTATGAATACCCAGACGCTTATCATCGTTCTCTTTCTTTCATTCTTCTTCCCCCTGTCTGCAGTGTTCCTGCTTATCATCATCTCTTCCCTCACTTTGTTCTCTATCTTCTTTCACGTCTCATTTGCCTCTCTTGTCATTTCGCGCTGTTGCCATCTCCGATTACTTTTGCCAGCTCAAACATGTCTCTTATCGCTTGTCTCTTTCAGCTCTGTTTGTTGATGTTTTTATTGCCTCTGCTGGCCCCTTTTATTTCACTCTTGTCTACGCTTTGCTTCTTTATTTGTTTTCGCTTTTTTATTCATCTTATTAGATATATCTACTCACACATATATAGATACATTCACTTAGAGCTAGACTTAAACGTACTAAGCATCTAGAGTTTATCTGTAATAAATTTTCTTTTAATTCCTCCCAAGCCGAGCTATCGCATGATTCCTAGCGCAGTTCCCTATATATCATACCAATAATCTAATCGCTTTGCTTATATGAATGAGTATAAGCAAATTCTCGAGGCTCTATTTCCACCAAAGTCTGCTGGGTCATAAATAACATAGTCTTGTATTATTTCTCAAGTATCGAAAATCGATCTTTGGGAATCACGATTGCTTATATCCATATATATTAAGTCAATATCCTGAATCAAATCAAATGTCGCTAATTTTGTCAATATATTTGTTTATTTGAATCTGATACATATCGATATCAAGCATAGATCTTCTTATAAACAACTTTTAATATGAGTTTAATATGACTTTACTTCTATTCGATTCTGATTTAAGGAATTATAATCGATTCACACTTATAAATCTAAACTTTTTTTACAAAAAGAGGAAATGTAGTTGAAGCAGAGACAAACTGAGATAAAGCTTAGTGTTTGCTGTCATTTCCCTTAGTTCTTGTTTGAGTGTCTCTCAGCCCACCCTTTCTATCCCATACGCATTCTTTCTCCCTCTCTGTCTTTCTTAGTTTACATTTAAATTTTGCTTTCTTCTTTTTTTATTAATATTTATTTTTGAATTTGTCTTTCGCCTATTGCGCCGTATAAATTGTTGTTTGTATTTCTATCTCTCTTTCGCTCATGGAACATTTTTATTTGTTTATGGTTTTTTTCATTTTATATATGTTTTTATTTTTGCCTGTTTTGCTCTACACTGCTTACCTTTTATCATGATAATACGCTGAAATACTTTTTGGAGCTGTTTTTTGTATTCTAGTATTATTTCTGCTCTATATATGTATATGTGTGCGTATGCGTGTGTGCGTTTGCCTGGGGTGTGCGGGCTCTATACAAATAAACAGTTTTTTTTTTTTGCTACTTGGAAATGGTTCTGCCAAGCACTCTTCGATAAGCAAGAAACCGCAATTTGTGCTGCTTCCCTTGAGGTACCATCATGTTTTCCCAAATGGGTTCGATAAGCACTCGTAATACCCGTTAAGTCTGCAACTTTCCAGTGCCTGGAACTCTGAAAATGTGCACATGTTTCTGGAATGCAGCTAAAGATAAAGTTCTGTTCGCAACTTGCTTATGTGTATCTGTAAACATAAATATACATATATATATATATGTATCTATGTATTAGAAATAATTCGAATTTCCTTAATGCGTTAAGAAATGATTTTAAACTCTACCCCAAATACTTAACTCGAAGTTCTACAATTAAAAAAAAATTGTTTCAATTTCTTTTCACATGGCTGGATATATGGCATTCTACTAAATAACCAATCAAAGCCAGTGCAAAGAAAATACCAGTTGGTTTTGAATGGAGTTTTTCTTCAGCTCTGCGTAGCTCTCGTGCCTTCGAAGATCTCATGCTCCATTTCCAGTTTCAGTTCTTTTTATCTCTGTAAAATCTGTTCTTTGTAACAGTGAGAATGACATACATAACCATCAATGGTCTCTCGGCTTTTTTCATTTTCCACTCGTTCTCTCTGTCTCATGCTTCTTCCTGTTTGTACTTTCTCCCATAAATCTAGTTGGCAACAAATTGCACAGAAATCACATTTTTCGTGATCTGTGGCAACTCTGGCTCTGCCCTATTATTTTGCAGTGGGTGAAAGGAGTTAAACTAGCTGAATTCCATGTGTGTGAGCATGTTGTGTGTGTGTGTGTCTACGAAATACAGGCTTGCAATTTCACTCAGCCTGCTCACACACACAGTCATAAACAGGCCCAAGTGTTGCCTGCAGCGCTCTGTGCAAAACGAGAATCTTCCAGTCTGCTGCTTCTGCTTCTCGCTCTCGCTCCCTCTCTTCTTCGCCTAGCGTGCTTATGAAGTTCGCTCTCCCAGGCTCTCACTCCTCTTTTGCATGTCTGCCTTACGCGGCCCAAGTTATGTACATCAAAGGCATTCTAAGCTAGCGACAGCACCCACCTCACATGTAGGAGTAGGCGAGAGAGGGCGTGTGTTCTGTAGGGCGCGTCGCTCATATGCCAATCACAGTTGCTGCGTAGCTGCGCTGCTGCTGCGCTGCTTTCAGTTTTTGTTTTTAAGTTCGCTTTAGTTTTTGCGTCTCTCTTACCCTGTCGCACTGCCAATGACAAAGTTATTTTTATTATTGCGTGCTTTTGACTGCGTAAGTGTGTGTGTGTGTGTGTGTCTGCGAGAACCTGTAAACACCACAACGCAATGTAAATGAAATATTCATGCAAGACGTCACGTAGCGTGGCTTTAAAGCGAAATTCCATGACATCCAAATGTTAATTTGGTGTAAACAAAGAGAGCAGAAGAGTTAACGACCGACCCCATTGCGTTTATATGTGGCTGACACTAGGCCTAGACGAGCTAATTGATAACAAATCGTATGCAATCGAGTGAAATTCATCGCACCTGTGTGTCAATTGCGTGATCGACTGGAATCAAGTGGAAATGGAACTGAGAATCCGAATGGGAATGGAAATGGGAGAGGCAGGTGTGGCAATCGAATGGCATTTGCAATTGCTGTCAATTTTCTTATATTCGTCATATTCGCAGCGAACCTTGTGGCCAAAAGCGAGACCTCGACAGTTAAACTGAGCTGCGCTTAGCTAAGGTTAAGGGAAGGCCACTTCAAGTGGGCGAGTGCGAATGTTAACTAAATACTAAATGCGACATAAACGATATACATATACACACAAACACACACACACACACATTATATACATGTACATCTATAACTCATTTAAGTCTATGTAAATGTTGCTAAACATGTTGTCTGTCGTGCGTATCTCTGCGTTACAGCAGCAGCTGCCTGTCGCAATACACACACACATACGCACGCACACACGCTAACGCTACTACATGCATACATATATGTACAAAATTTCAGTAAGCTCGCTAAACATGGCGCGTGCGACAGAGACAGAACTTTTCTGTCGTGTCAAAAAGGAACAAACAAAAAGTACACAAAGTGCTTTCAAGTGAGGTAGGGTATTTGCGGATTGAGTTGCTGCTTCATAATACAACATTCAAAAATGAGAGAAAATTAAAATATCTCTAATTCTCAAATAATAAGAATATGTAAACAAACAGTTGTGGATTTTTTTGTTCAGATTATGTCAAGTCACAGATAGGTAGAAAGAACTATAAAATGATACATAAAATTAAAAAGATTTTTTGTGATAGTCTCTTTATTTCGTTTTGTATCACTTGTTTTCCTTTACAAGTTCTATATTCTGTACAGGGTATTTTATAGTCTTGCTTTTACACGACAAGCTTCGCTGCCTTCATTAATTGGCATTATTTTGTAGCACTTCAATTGACGGAGTCTCAAAATAATTTAAATTCTTGTATATTGTAGGGTATGCTCTGAGCCTAATCATACTTAATGTGTTTTATCGCAATTTCTTTTTGCATTTTTAACTTGACATTATTATTTTTTCGGCGCAATTGAATTGAATGATGCCGCCAGTCGACCTTTGCGTCAGTTTCACTCAAATGTTTGGGGCTAGAAGCATTTGTATAATACATAAAATATATTGTATGCACAAATATTTACCGCAAATGTAATTAATGTATACATATTTTATCTTCTTCTATTGC